CCCCCCTTTTTTTTTTTTCCCTTTTTCAAAGGGTTCCCAAGCTTTAGTTTAAAAAAAAGGGGGGATTTAAAAAATTTTTAATGAAGAAATTTTCAAGAAGTGATGTTTTTGAAAACAAAAAAGGAAAAAAAAAAGTAAAAAATCGGTTATTTTGTTTAAAGGGGAAAAATTCGTTATTCCTTTTGTTTCAGGCCCCAAAGTTAAGAAAAAAAAAATGGGGAAAGAAAAAATAAAAAATTTTAAATAATTTAAAAGGTTTGTGGGAAATTTTAGTTACCCCTCATTTTTGGACAAAACTTTTTTAGCAAATGTATCTCGGGGTAATAACTGGATCAGAAATTTTTTTTTTTGTTATTCCTTATTAAAAAAATGCTCTTTAAAACTGTAAGAAAAAAAAATTTTTTTTTTTTTTAAATTTCTTGGACACTGGAGCACCCCTTCAAATTTTGGCCTTTGGGGAAAGGGGGTTTAAAGGATCCCCTTTGTAACCAGGGGTGTTTGCCTCTTTTCTGTGATTGTTTTTGTTTTATTTGGACAATGCCTTTTACAGGGGTTTTTGGATTTTTTGAAGAAAAATTTTAAACACATTTTTAAATTTACTGTGGCTGTATCAAAGTTGGCAGAAAAACCGACAATATGTTAGGTAAGGGACATGAGTGCAGCAAAATGTGATTTTTTATTGTGGCAATGAAATCCCTTTCTCTTTGCCCAAGCTGATAGGGTTTGGGAAAAAGCCCTTTTTATACTTAAAGGGGAGTCGGAAGCTATTACCAGGGGAATTCATTTTTATTCTCTACTCCCTCACTGGAAGGTTTTGCTTTTTTTCTCTTAAAATTTTTTAATGTTTCTACTGAGGTGATTTTTTTAAATTATTTTTAGCATTGTTTAAAAATTTATAATGTGCACAAAGTTTGGTATTAGTGCTGTTATTTTTTATTTAGACTTTACTAAAAAGGGGAAGAAAATTGATAAAATGGGATGCTTAAAATGTGCGGGGGGTTGTAGTGCGGATGACAAGAAACAGAGTTTTGTGTTTGTTATAAATGAAAAGAAGTTGGATTTTCCGGGGCCCTAAGCGAAACAAAGCTAAAGGGGGGTTAGGGGAGTTTCGGTGGGGGGAAATAAAGGGGTTTAAAAATTGGGGTATCTGAGAGAGTTAAGCAAAGGGGGGGGGTAGCAGTAATGTTGAAGGATCAGTTAGGGAAAGGAGAAAGGGGGTATGAATGTGAAAAAATTCAAGAATTATGTGGGTTTTAAGGGAAAAGGTTTGGATGGGGAAAAAGGGGTCTAAAAAGTGTGTATGCACCTGGAGAAGGGGGAAAGGGTAGAGGGAGAGAGGAGATTTTGGGAGATTTTAAAGTGAATGTATAGGGCCTTTGAACCAAGTGGGAGATTTAAATTTTTGGTAGGGGGCCCTTTAAATTGCTAAGTAGGGAGAAACTTTTAGAGGGGGTTTTGTGGTAGGTAAGTTTGGGGGACCGGGTGAAAATGTTTAATGCGAGCCCTTTGTTTGGGAACTTTGTTTTAAAAAAGGGGTTTAGTTTTAGGTAATACTTTATTTTAAGAAAAAGGGGAAAAAATAAGTATCCCCAAAAGGGATATGATGTGGGGGAAAAATGAAGTGTTTGTTGGTTTAAAGTACGTAGATAAAAGACTTTTAGTGGGACCTCGGATGTCCCATTTTTATAAGGGGGCCCAACAGATATTTTCGGGGATCACTTTTTTGTTGTAGCTACACTGGAGAAAGGTAGATGGGATACAAGGAGAATGGGAAGCATCGGGGAAAGGGAGGAGGTAAAGGGTTTATAAACTAAAAGAGGAGGCCAGTTAGGGTAAGATATAAACGCTATTGGAGGATAGTTTGGGTAATGAGAGCTAGGCAATAGGGTCGAAAAAGGGTAGGGGGTAGGTTTTAAAAATTTGTAGTGTTAGGTGTTCAGAAAGAAGTTTGGGGGGAAACGGGAAAGGGGTGCGGGGGGGGAAAAAGGAGCGTTAGGGGAAATGATGATGAAAAGAGAGTGTAAGGGAAAAAAAAAGTTAGCATATGAAAATTTTTTACAAAGTAAAAGGGTATGCAAGGAGGGAAGAGAAATATGGAGAAAAAGAGAGGGGTTTAAGAGAGGGGGTGAAGCAATGTAAAAAGAGGCAAATGGGGGAGAGGGGGTGAGAGGGAAACAAAAAATTTTTGTTAAAAAATTAAAAAAAAGTTTTGGAGTGAGATTAAAAAATTTAAAGGGAAAAGCCTGGGAAAAAACAAGGGATTTGTCAGTTAAAAATAGGGGGAGGAGAGTTATTAAATGGAGAGTTAGGGGGTTTTTGGGAAAGATGGGGGGAAAATTTTTTGGGGAGGGATTGTTAAATGTTGATGAAGATAGGGAAGCTGTGTTTTCGTGTATGGGGAAAAGGAGGAATAACATCTTGTGGGAGTTAGGAAAAAGCCATTTTGTGAGTGGGGGGAAGTTGGGTGGGGAAAGTAGGTAAAATGAAAGGGGTAAGGCGGGCCGGGGGGATTGAGGGTTTTTTAAAAGATGAAATGAAAAAAGGGCAGGTGGGGATATGTTTTGGAGGGGTTTGGGTGCAATTTTTTAATAAATTTAGGGAAAAGAGGTAAGGTACCCAGGGGTTGGCAGAGGCATGCTTTGTTCCTTTGTATAAAGGCAAAAGGGGGCAAAAGAGAGGGGCAAAAATTTTTTAGGGGGATAAGTCTGTTGGGGTATACCCGGTAAAAAATGTAAGGGGAGAGTTATTATTGGGAAAAAATTTAAAAGTAAGACGGAGGAATGGATAGCAGTTTAACAAGGAGGCTTTAGGGAAAAGGTTTGGGGGTGTGTGGACCCGGTGTTTAAGTGAAAAATATAAGTGAAAAAGTATTTCGAAAAGGCTAAAGAGGTCTTTGTGGCATTTTTGGATTTGGGAAAAAGGGTTTGCAGGGTGGATTGGGGGGCAATGTGGAAAATGTTGCAGGGGTTGGTGTAGGAGGTTGGTTATGGGAAAAAAGTGAAGGAAAATTTTTTTCGAGGGGTAGTGAGGCTCAAGTTAGAGTTTGTGGAAAGGGGAAATTATTTTCCCCGGTTGTTTAAAAATATTTATAGATGGGGTTGTAAAAAGAAATAAAGGGGAGGGTCTTGGCAAGAGGGATGGAGTTAAAAAAATAAAGAAACCCCAAAAATAAAGTTTGGGGGTTGTACAGTTTCTCTTTGCTGATGACACTGTGCTCTTGGGAGATTCTGAAGAGAAGATGCAGGATTGGTGGATGAATTTGGTAGGGGGTGCAAAAGAAGAAAATTTAAAAATGAATACAGGAAAGAGTAAGGTTATGAGGGAAACCCCCCCCCCCAAAAAAATTAGGTGATGAAAGATTGGGTATCAGATTGGGGGGAAAAGGGGTAGGAGGGGGTGAATGTATTCAGGTATTTGGGAAGTGGACGTGTCAGCGGTGGGGTCTTGAAAGATGAGGTGAATCATAGAATTGTTTAGGGGGGAAAAAAGGGGATTTGGGGCACTTAGGAGTCTGTGGAGACAAAGGGAAATTTGCCTTGGAGGCAAAGAGGGGAATGTATGAGAGTATAGTTTTCCAAAGTCTTATATGGGTGTGAAGCATGGGTGATGAATGTTGCAGCGAGGAGGGAAAATTTGGGGGCAGTGGGATGTCAGGGCTGAGGGGAATGTGTGGTGGGGGAATATAAGCAGGAATTCGTAGTTTGGAAGTTGGGGAGGTGGCGGATTACCCCAAAATGTTGTCCAGAGGGCTGAAAGGGAAAGGGGTTTTTGAGGTGGTTCGGACATGTAAAGGGGAATGGAGCGAAACAGGGGTGGGCTTCCCAAAAGTGTATCAGTCTGTAGTGGAAAAGGGGCGGGGTAGGGGTCGGCCTAGGAAAGGTTGGGGGAGGGGGGGGAAAGGGGTTTTTTGGGGCGAGGGGGGTTGGACTTCCAGCAGGCATGGGGGGAGAGTGTTTAATAGGAGTGAATGGAGACAAAAAAGGGTTTTTTTACTTTAGGGGCTGTTGGAGTGTGAGCAAGTAACATTTTTGGGAAGGGGGTTCAGGGAAAAAAAGGGAGGCCGGACTTGGAGTCCCGGAGATGGGAAATACAGTGCCTGCCTCTGAAGGAGGAGTGTTAATGTTGCAGTTTAAAAAATGTAGTGTAAAGCACCCTTTGGCAAGACAGTGAGGGAAAATGAATGATGGGGAAAGTTTTTTTTTTTTCGGGCCACCTGCCGTTTGGGGGGAAACGGCCAGTGTGATAATAAAATAAAAAAAAAAAAATTTATATTCACTAAAGAGGATGAGGAACAGTTACTATAACACAACCAGGTCTGAGGTATGAGCTTTCTACTCTTTCTTTAAAGCTAGATTTTTTTTGTTTTGTTTACTACTTCTATACTACTATTCTTGGTTTTGAATATCAAATTTGGGCCCATTTTTTCCCCTTATTTCCCGGGCGGGTAATTTTTTTTTGCTATCATTCAATTTATAGCATTTTTTCAAATGTTTAGTGAAATCCGGTTGACCACATCTCCATTTTGGTTGTCCTTCAAAGCCCTTTATGATTTTGTTTATAGGGCAGGTTTACAGCTCATGAGCAGTAATTTTTTGGTTTTAAATATTGGTTATATATCTTTTGTCCCAAAAATTTTTTCCCCATTTCCCCAAGCTTTTTTAAAAAAATTTAATACTTTGTCCCCTTTTTTTTGGTTTTATTTTATTTTTTAAAAAAAGGAGAGAGAAAAAAAAATATATATAGGAGTTTTGGAGTTTGGAAAAAAGGGTATAAAGGGAAAAACAAAATCACCAAAAGTCAAAAAAGCTGAAATGGTAACTTTCTTTCCTGGTAATTCCCTAAGTTTTCCATCAAATTTCATACTTTTGGTGCCATTATCTTCAGAAAGAGATTCTCTACCATTTCAGAAGAATTTTTTTTTTAAAGTGGACACTGAGAGCAACATTAATTTCAGGGGTCTGGACAGTGAACGGGTTAAGTAATATAATATGCCTTCTTACCAGCCATATATATTGGTGCATGTAGACACTGAAGGCTGGAAAATGAGATGGCTTCATCTGGTATTGAAGGAGGGATTGAACATACCTTAAGAAATTCTTGGTCACTTAGTTTCTTAATGGCTGTATCTATTGCCTGTTTGGAATACACTCCATTGGAGTATTTTCTACGTTGCTTTTGACGTGATGCAAACATATTTCCACACAGTTGGTCCCTGTAAGGTATTGCAACATTTGTAAAGAATTTGCATTAGAAACTGAATTCTTAAAATTCCTAGGAAAAAAAGGATGTACTGATGTTATTATACTGAAGGGAAAATGGTAAACTTGTGAAGCTCACACAGTGATGGAGAAATGGGTGGTATTCTGGTTTGATCCAAGGAAGGGAAGGGTAGCTATAATTTCTTAAATAAAGAGCCTTTTACCTGCATCAAGGGTGCCCTTTTAAGAAGTGCATATTTTAATAATCACAGTCACGTACAAATTTCCAAACCAAGTTAAACTAAATAAGTGATATAAAATCTTGATCATACTGATTGACTTCACACATGTACAGTAATGTACTTACATTATTTTACAGTCTTGTAAGTCATGAATATAAGTAGATGTGACATTCAGTACAAAGTCCTGGTATGGCCCCACAATAAATGTTTTCCCAACCACTGCTGCAACTTGTGGACCAACGACATTCTTCCAGACATCTTTGATGGTTCCAACATGATCATCACGCCCCTGCCAAAGTATCATCTTAAATTTAACAAAAAAATATGCATGCATGTGTATCTGCTTTCTAGAACCTTGTTATAAGCAATAAAGCTCAACGTTCTAGAAAACATCCCCATATTAAAGGGGATAAAAAGACAAATTTTTACACTCAACTGAATAATAAACATCAGGAAAGCATTTCCAATAGATCTAAAACAAATATATGAGAATCACTATACTATATGGGACATATACAATAGTATACAAAATGGGAAATGACACAGTTACTTTTTGCTGATGATACTGTGCTTATGGGAGATTGTAAAGAGAAATTGCAAAGGTTAGTGGATGAGTTTGGGAGAAACCATACCCCGGCCGGGATTGAACCTGCGGTCATAGAGTCTCAAAACTCCAGCCCGTCGCGTTAGCCACTAGACCAGCTAGCCACAATAAGATTCGTCCAACTAGGTATATTTCTACACCATAGGAAGGTTAGCACAGGCACCACTGTGACCACAAATGCAAGTTTTTATAGACGAATCTCCAGCTAGCGTGGCCGTGATGAACTCTAGCTCAAGTCCCTTCACTGCCATCAACATGACTCACGAAATTGTAATGACACGATTGCAAACAAACCATACCCCAGCCGGGATTGAACCCGCGGTCAGAGAGTCTCAAAACTCCAGCCCGTTGCGTTAGCCACTAGACCAGCTAGCCACAATAAGATTCGTCCAACTAGGTATATTTCTACACCATAGGAAGGTTAGCACAGGCACCACTGTGACCACAAATGCAAGTTTTTACAGACGAATCTCCAGCTAGCATGGCCGTGACAAACTCTAGCTCAAGTCCCTTCACTGCCATCAACATGACTCACGAAATTGTAATTTGTTTACAGTCTCCCAAGTGCATGCATACTAGCTTTTTCTTGCTGAATCTCACTCAGCAAGCCTCAAGCATCATTCAGAACAGCCTATCATAGAAAAGTTGACAAGGGAAAATGACAGACAGTGGTGACTTGTACTTAGCTCTGTGGTGACCTATATTTAGCTCAGTGAGGACATGTCGAGTGTGCTCTCTGCGAACTGAACCAAGATGCCCTCCATCGAGTAACTTTACCAGCAGCTTAAGGAAGAATTGAGGGTGGCGAAGATGGAGATACGGCGATTGACTGAGGAAAACGAGAGGATCCGTAGTGGTCCTCCTGTTGTGAGTCGTCAGGTCAAGAAGGGGGACCTGGACAGTGGCTGGACAGCACGGAACGAAGTTGACGATCAAGAAGATGAATGGAAAGGTAGAAACGATGAAGAAGAAAGAGACTGCTGTGGAAACTGTTGTGGAAACATCTAATGCATTCTCCATACTACCCGACGAATGAGAGTCGACTACTGGGAACATCATGATGAACGACACCAAGGAAGGTAAGAATATTGTTGTTGTTGGGGGTAGCAAGGTTAGGTACATAGATAGGGTCTTCTGCTTGAAGGACAGAAGTAGGAGACAGAGGGTTTGCTTTCCTGGGGCTGGGATACAGGATATTGTTAGCCAGCTTGACAACATCATGAACGGTAATGGGATCAATCCTATTATCTGCCTCAGTGCTGGAGGCAAAGATGTAGGCACCGTAGAAGTGTGGATTTAGTTAGAAGGTTCAGGACAGCAATAGACGTAATTAGGAAGAAGGGGGTGGCGCCCTGTTATATGTGGCATTTTGCCAAGAAGGGGTGTTGGAAATGAATGGTTGTCCAGAGTAACTGGACACACGATTCTCACTTGATTCTCAAGTGAGAATCGTTTGATCTGAGAGGGACTTGACCTCTCAGTGACTACATTCTCTCTTCTACCAGCCTGCACCTCTCGACTGAAGAAGCCTACTGTGTAGGCGAAACGTTTTGAAATAAAGTTGCCAAACTGCTGCCCATGGGTCTTACCTACCAACCTGTCAGTATTATATACCATTTTGATATTCAGTAGGCCTGTTGGCCCATACTAGGCAGGTCCTTCACAACCCATCCCACTAGCAGAATATTTGCCCACCCCAATTTTCAATGCTACCCAAGCAATAAGAACATAAGAAAGGAGGAACACTGCAGTAGGCCTGTTGGCCCATACTAGGCAGGTCCTTCATAAATACAACCCACTAACAGAATAAATGCTACCCAAGCAATAAGCATTGACAATTCTATTTGCTCACGTGCAAGTCCCACTCAAATTGAACCCCTCTCACTGAGGTATTTATCCAACCTAAATTTAAAACTCCTAGGTAGTAGGTTGGTAGACAGCAACCACCCAGGGAGGTACTACCATCCTGCCAAGTGAGTGTAAAACAAAAGCCTGTAATTATTTTACATGATGGTAGGATTGCTGGTGTCCATTTTTTGTCTCATAAACATGCAAGGTTTCAGGTACGTCTTGCTACTTCTACTTACACTTAGGTCACACTACACATACATGTACAAGCATATATATATACACACCCCTCTGGGTTTTCTTCTATTTTCTTACTAGTTCTTGGTCTTGTTTATTTCCTCTTATCTCCATGGGGAAGTGGAACAGAATTCTTCCTCCGTAAGCTATGCGTGTTGTAAGAGGCGACTAAAATGCCAGGAGCAAGAGGTTAGTAACCCCTTCTCCTGTATATTTTACAAAATTTAAAAAGAGAAACTTTTGTTTTTCTTTTTGGGCCACCCTGCCTTGGTGGGATATGGCCAGTTTGTTGAAAAAAAAAAAAAATTTAAAACTACCCAAGATTTTAGCTTCAACTCGACCTTGGGTAGCTTTAAAAAGAGAATGGACAAATATATGAGTGGGAGGAGCATGTATGTATATACAATAGATCTTTCTTTCTTTTTTCAACAAACCAGCCATATCCCACCAAGGCAGGGTGGCCCAAAAAGAAAAATGAAAGTTTCTCTTTTTAAATTTAGTAATTTATACAGGAGAAGGGGTTACTAGCCCCTTGCTCCCAGCACTTTAGTTGCCTCTTACAACATGCATGGCTTACAGAGGAAGAATTCTGTTCCACTTCCCCATGGAGATAAGAGGAAATAAACAAGAACAAGAACCAGAAGGAAAATAGAAGAAAACCCACAGGGGTGTGTATATATATGCTTGTACATATATGTGTAGTGTGACCTAAGTGTAAGTAGAAGTAGCAAGACGTACCTGAAATCTTGCATATTTATGAGACAGAAAAATGGACACCAGCAATCCTACCATCATGATATACAATAGAGATATATATTTCATGATGCTGTCATGTCTTATATGATTGTTCATGGTTCAATTGTATTAGATTTCCCTACAATATATTGGGGCACCAAACATTCGCAATTTTTCAACATTCGCGAGGCTCTTGATCCCCTAACCCTCGTGAATGTTGAGGGAGACCTATACTCTGTGTTCAGGTACCATGAGCCACCTGGAAATCCTGCCACCAGTACCCTCAATTTTGGTGATGGTGGCTGAGGAGCTTAAGTAGGAAATACTCAAAATGCAGAGCACTAGATTATTATTACATTCATGGAGGAAATGTCAAACCCATAGGGGTCCTGCAGCATACTGGGGAAATAGGAGGTAATCAGATTCACTAAAAAGAAAGAAAGATTGGGTCGAATTCCTTGGATTTTGATATTAAGAAATTTTGATATTAAGATTTTGATAATAAGAATCTTAATAGTAACTGTCATGGAGTAACTCTGGGTAATAATAATTTTAGAAATTGTGTAAAAACAAAGGTGAATAGGAAAAATGTGCAGAAGAAAAAACATATGATGGTATTTTATGCTAACAGTCGAAGTGCAAGAAATAAGATTAATGAACTACGTTTGGTAGCATGTGCTGGGAACTTTGATGTCATTGCATTAACTGAAACATGGTATGATTTAAAGAGTTGGGATGTGATTGCTGAGTGTAATATTCAAGGGTTTAAGTTGTTCCATGTGGATAGATGTAATGGGAAAGGGGGGAGGAGTTGCATAATATGTTCGAGAAAATATTAATTGTTTCATAAAAGCAGGTATAAAAACAGATGGAACAGTAACAGAATCTGTTTGGGTAGAGTTTGCAGCAGGTCAAGAAAAACTAATTCTAGGTGTAATATACTGACCTCCAGGCTTGGATCATGATAGAGGGAGACTTCTTTGGGACGAAATTGTTAGGGCTTCTAGACACAATAACATAGTGATAGTAGGGGATTTTAACTTTAGTCAAATTGACTGGAATTCTTTGACCAGTAATCTGGAGTCCAGTGACTTTATGGAAACAGTTCAGGACTGTTTTCTGAAGCAGTGTGTAACAGAGCCTACCAGGGGTAATAATTTGCTAGACCTAGTCTTGTCAAAAAGGAAACACTCGTAAATAATCTGGAGATCACTGAAGAGCTTGGCGCAAGTGATCACAAATCCATCACTTTTAGCATTAACTGGGAATACAAGAATAATGATAATACTGTAAAAATCCCTGATTTTCGCTCTGCCGATTATAGTGGACTTAGGGAACACCTGTCAAATCTTGATTTGGGTTATCTAGCTAATGATTTTATTGACAATGATCATACTTATGATTACGAAGGGATCTCCATTTATGATTTTTTTCTTGATAATGTACACTGTGCTCAGAGTATATACATTCCCCAGAGAGAAATTAACCCATTTAGGATCTTTTTTTTTTTTTTTTAAATAACGATCCCAAATGGGTTAACAGGAGGCTAAAGCATCTATTAGGGGAGAAAAGGGGAATTTATATGCGCATCAGAAGAGGAGAGGTTAACCTTACTGACCAATATGTTCAGCTTAAAAGAGAAGTAAAACAGGGGATTAGAAAGGCTAAACATGACTATGACCTCTGAAAATTGGGAACTGACAGCTGACGGATAACGAACGGATGACTATGTTTTGTCAGTTTTTACACAGGAAGACAAATGAGATTCCAGAAATTAACAATTATTCAGTTCCTGACGAATTCAAATTGACTAATATTACTGTCACAAGGGACATGGTTATCAAACAGATAGACAAACTGAAGCA